GTCCCCAATGATGTCCCCAATGTCACTTTGATGTCCCCAATGTCACTTTGATGTCCCCAATGTCCCCGCAGAAGCACTGTGCCCCCGTGCTGGCCAAGGCGCGGCCGCCCCCCGACAGCCCCGAGTGCTACCGCGGCGATTTCGGCTACCTGGGCGCGCTGCTCTGCTCCCACGTGGTCAAAGCCAGGGCCCAGGCGGCCCTGCAGGCCCAGCAGGTCAACAGGACCACGCTGACCATCACCCAGGTGACACTGGGGACACTTGGGGACATCAAGGGGATTGGGGACATCGGGAGGGTTGGGGACATCGGGGGGATTGGGGACACTGGGACAATGGGGACACCGCGGGCACAGGTGGCTCCGCAGGCCCAGCAGGTCAACAGGACCATGCTGACCATCACCCAGGTGACATCTGGGGACACTTGGGGACATCGGGGGGCTTGGGGACATCAGGGGCATGGGGGACAATGGGGACACCGCAGGCACAGGTGGCTCTGCAGGCCCAGCAGGTGACCAGGACACGCTGACCATCACCCAGGTGACATCTGGGGACATCGAGGGGGTTGGGGACATCGGTGGGGTTGGGGACATCGGGGGGATTGGGGACACTGGGACAATGGGGACACCGTGGGCACAGGTGGCTCTGCAGGCCCAGCAGGTGACCAGGACACACTGACCATCACCCAGGTGACATCTGGGGACACTTGGGGACATCGGGGGCTTGGAGACATTGGGAGGGTTGGGGACATCGGGGGCTTGGGGACAATGGGACAATGGGGACACAGCAGGCACAGGTGGCTCTGCACGCCCAGCAGGTCAACAGGACCACGCTGACCATCACCCAGGTGACATTGGGGACACTTGGGGACATCGGGGGGATTGGGACAATGGGGACATTGGGGGGATTGGGGACAGTGGGGACACAGTGGTCACAGGCAGCCCTGCAGGCCCAGCTGGTGACCAGGACCACACTGACCATCTTGCAGGTGACATTTGGGGACACTTGGGGACATTGGGGACATCGGGGGATTGGGGACATCAGGGGTGTGCAGGGGATTGGGGACATTGGGGGACACTGGGGACACAGGTGGCCCTGCAGGCCCAGCAGGTGACCAGGGCCACCAACAACCAGGTGAACTTGGGGACACTGGGGACATTGGGGGGACATGGCGGCTGGGGGTGGCACACTGGGGACACTGCAGGGGGTGGCACATTGGGGACATTGAGGGAGGGGACACCAAAGGGCTTTGCAGCCACCTGGGGGGGTCAGGGTGGCCCTGGGGACAGTTGGGGACACGTGGGAACACGGTGTCAGGGGACACGTGGCCACCCTGGAGGGTCCCTGGTCCCCACGTGTCCCCTCTCGGGATTTGTCTCCCCCTGTGTCCTGTGTCCCCCAATGTCCCCAGTCCCCCCAAATGTCCCCAATGTCCTGAATTTCCCTAAATCCCTGCAATGTCCCCAATGTCCCCAGTGTCCCCAATCCCACAGTGTCCCCAATGTCCCAAATGTCCCTGCTGTCCCCAACTCCTTCAATGCCCCAAATCCCCCCGATGTCCCCCATGTCCCCCCAATGTCCCCAAGCCCCCCAATGTCCCCCGTGTCCCTCGCTGTCCCC